GTGTCAGGGTCAGAGGCCTTGGATAATTGCATGTAGTTGCAAAGTCAAATGCGTTTCCCAAAAGCCACAGATACTGGGAAAGTCCCTATGCCTCTTCCTGGCATTCAGCCCAACCTGGCCTGATCTGTTTGCTTTTTATCCTTAAAAACTAACAATCATGAACTCTCACTGATGTCAGGGCCACTGTAGGAGGCAATAAAGAAAGAAGAGATTTTCTCACAGTTTAGAGGAAATTGTAATCTGAGATAGAGCAAATACAGCCTAAGTCTGAGTTGTGGCTCACATCTGCCCTAGAGAGGCTATGATCTCACTTTTAGAATCTGATGGAAACAAGAAAATTCAAAAAGACCTGCCCCAGTGACTTATTTCCTTGTGTTAGATCACAGAAATACTTAAGAAAGACTCTTTTGTTCACCAGGAAAGAAATCTGGAGGATTTTAAATTTTACCAGTGTACCACAGCTCACACCCTGCTGTGTGACTTCATGCTGCACAGTAGGAGGCAGCTCTCTGTACCTCTTGGTCACAGTTTCTCCCAAATGAACATCAGCCCAGGGCTTAAGGAGCTCTTTTCTTGTGCTTGGCTCTGTTTGATCCTTGCAGCCTATTGCCACCATCACTATCAGAGCAGCCTCTTTCAATGCTGCTTCTCTCCTGTGCAATCTAACTATGGCTCCCATATTCTGAGATTCTCTCTTGAACACTAATGTGATCACCTTAAGTACTTTAGCCAGCTCAGACCCTTATCAAATAAACTGTAGTCCTCAAAGTGACGAAATAAACAATCAACCAAACCCTTTGATTCCCAAAGTATAAACAGAGATCTTTCTTGGTTTCTCTTTGATATTCCAATCCATCCTCAATGGCCTTTAAGACTAGCTATCTAAAAAGAGGTACCAAATAACCTCATCTCCCCATGCTTCCCTCCCAAAGAAGCAATCATGATAATGATACTGTCCTTCCTGGCAGAAATGGTAACATTTAAAGAGACATCTGTGCCCATCCCTTTGGCAATCAGATTACTGAGACAATGAATGGGCCCTGAGAATTTGGAATTCCCCCTAGGAGCTTCATGGTAGAAGCCTGGTGTCAGCTAGAGGTGGAGTTTGTCTCCCAGGAAGAGATTTCACATAGTTCTAACACTTTGTCACACAGTCTTGAAGAAGTGAAGATAAAGGCTTGGCAGGGCCACACCTTGACTGAGGTTGTCTTCTATTTAAACCTCATGACAAGGCCTCAATGTGGATTTGAAGAGATAACTGCATTTCTTTACCTAGTCTTCTTCCCAGTATGGCCAACAGTGAATGAATCTTTGTCTGCCTTTTACACTTCTCATCTGAGTGAACCCTAAGAAAGGGGGGGGCTAGCTTGTTAGGGCTACCAAGGCCCAGGTTCTGACCCTAAGACATCCAGAAACTCTCTGATCTCCAAGTAGTCACTTTCCTTCATCTTACATGGCTATGATGTCACAGAGAGTAATGCCAGGACCTTAGAATCAGATTGCCTGAACTGCCTGCCATCTCTAATACAGAGATATGAAATCTTAGGAAAGTTACTCAAATCATCCTTGAGGACCCCTGAGGACATTCTTTAGGAAAGGATTGTGGGGAATGAGTGACACAACAGTTACAAAATGCTTAAACTACTGTTCTGTAAAATCAATGGCAAAAACAATAGTCACGAATAGTCATTGCTGCTGTGCCTTGTATTGCGATGCCCTTGACTCCTTTGTATAATGATTGTGCCTCTATCTATCCCTCACCCATCTCTTTGTAAAACCCATTACAAATCCCAAAGGTTGAGCCTGTTCTGTATCTTCCAGAGCTTTCCTATAATCCTGTAGATACTAAAAAAGTTTGTAATAACTGTACTTAACCCCTTAACCTGAAATTTTCCAGTGATTCATGCCTCTTCCCCGTTAGTGGATGAGCTGCTGAGAAGCACGAACCATTTCTGATTCCTATTTAGATCACCAGGGCCTAACAGAATCCTTGCTCCAGTGTCTAATAAATACTCATTTCAGAAATACCCCTCCATTTCGCACTGTAGACACGAATGGCTTGGCATTCAAACTGCTAACTAATCGTTCTGCCTACACACCTCAACCCTTCCTCCCACGGTAGCCGGAGGACCAGCTCGAATGCCGATCTCTTCTTGGTGATTAAGTCCAGCTTCCTGGCCACAGCTCTGAAATCCTGGCAGCATGCAGCTTCCACCTGTACCTCAGTTCCAAACCACTGCCTCCCTGTTCTCCGTTCCCTAGCAAACTACCTCCCACCTCACTAAGCTTAAGTAAAAAGTGTGCAGTTTATTCACCGTGTGAAAAGAGATATTCAGGTGTGTCTGAAGTGCATGTGTGCACAAGAGACCTTTTGAGAGCAAATCCCATCCACATAAGAAGCATGCAGGAGTGACAAACCATCAGATAATAGGAGTTGATAATTTGTGCCTATCAGAGAGGGGAGGCGGGCCATTGTCAATGTACCTGCCATTGTATCATGATGTACCAGTCTCGCCTCTTCAACACAAGCAGCAAGTCACATAGAAAAAAAAAAGCTAATTTATGAGAAGCTTTTCAAATACTCTGTGGAAGTATCAGAACCATTAGAAACACAAGTGACAGTCAAATAAATGAGTGATATGCTTGGACAGATAAAGAGGTAAAGAACTGGTTTTCTTGGGGAAGCAGTCAGGCAGTCTGCTGTAGCTCCTGCTTTCATGGAACAAGAGGAATCCAGGGAGAGAGAGAGAGAGAGAGAGAGAGAGAGAGAGAGAGAGAGAGAGAGAGAGA